GGGGTGTACTCGCAGCTTCCAGAGATGTGGACGACTGGCACGAGAGGTCAATTGGCCGTGCAGGCTCCGCTTGCAACCCAGACGCCAGTTGACCACTACCCACCAGGGGTTTGTTGCTACTGACGCCGGGCGCAACATTTAGTACTGTTAGCCGTTTAGGCTCCTTCGGGACCGCTCCAGCGGCTACCGAAGATGTCGTTTTTAGACAGACTTTAACGCCGTGTCCGTCGGCGGCATTTTTACCCGTGCAGGGATCCGGGGCTACATTTTTCGAGTTCATTATTTCTGGTTCGTTGGTCGCCTACTGAGCCGAAACCGTTCGGCGACCGAATATATGGGTAAGGGGAAAAACGGTCGGCCTCAGCAGAGCCCCATGCTGAGGTAAGTCCACCGTTACTCCCGGAGGCGGACAGGTATCCGGGAGGCGCCGTTAGAATACAGTCGGAAAACCCCCTGACTGCAAACCATCCAATGGGCACGGTGACGCATGACACCCTGGATTAGGGGGGCGTTTTATACCTACCGCCAGGTACCCCCTAGAAATAGCCTAAGTATGCCCACCCCAGCCCCCCTCGGACGAGCCCGTACGGCCTACCACTAGACCTAGATGAGGCAGGGGAGTTTATACCTCGGCCTTGGCTAGGCCCCGCCTGCTTGCACCACTGCAGCCATAGGAACAAGCCTACCTTGCCACAGCGGTGTAAGCAACGATGCCCATTGCCCAGTCGGCACCCGCTTGGAGGATATATCTAGGAGGATTTTCGCCAACCGAGTTAACGTTGGAAATACCTCCATGTAGTTTCCTATTTTCTTCCCAGAACATTGGGCCAGTATGTCAAAAATAAATTTGCCTATAATCTTCTTCCGTTTAACTGTTCGATTTACTCAAATCGACATATCTATATATAAATACGTTAAGTTCGACACTAGCTTGCCATATACATATGTATGTAGCAAAGCGTGGTGAGAAGGACGGCTTTACGAGGAAACGGTGTCATTGTTATGAAATAATATGTTACAGAAAAATTGTATCATTTGTAAAACCGATATTAATTTGATTTGTTTAATTTCTTCGCTTTACAGTTCAACACTCTCTGGAGGCAGAGAAGACATGGTTGCAATGCCAGTGCGAGCGGTGGGGTTTGCGTAAGTATAATCATGTCTAAATTGTATATGGGTTGTTTATTTAACCAATTTGGGATATATATCTAAATCATTTGCTTCTAAAATCAGTGTAATTGGCAACTAATAACCAAATAACAAACAAGTTTTCAATAAGTAGTCGCTACTTAACAGAAGACATAACAGTGACTAACGTTTTTTCATCAACTTCTTTTGTCTCGTTAAACTCTGTCACTATTAAATTGTTCCAGTAACCATTTTACTATTTCATTGTATGTTTTGTTTTATTTCTTTTTGTTGTCCAATTAGTTTAATGTAAACGTATTTAGTCACTAATCTAGCTTATTCGATTGACATCAGAATCATCACACACACCTTCGTTTCACTTTCACATTTCACATTTGTAATCGGGTTTTATTTCCTTTAATCTGCTTTTAATCTTAATATAATACTAAGCTTCAAATTGCTTAGTGATGCAGATTGCTTTCTTATTTATTTTCATATCTAAAGTCGAAAAAGTTTTTAATCATAGTTATAATGAAACGTTGTAAAGAATAATTTAACCAACCACTCAAAAATGAGTAAATCTCTCTTTTCTTTCACTNAAGCTTCAAATTGCTTAGTGATGCAGATTGCTTTCTTATTTATTTTCATACCTAAAGTCGAAAAAGTTTTTAATCATAGTTATAATGAAATGTTGTAAAGAATAATTTAACCAACCACTCAAAAATGAGTAAATCTCTCTTTTCTTTCACTCTGACTCATCTTCTTCCTGTATGTCGTGTTTATGTACATTGGCACTGCCTGTCAATTGTGAATACATATAAATAAAAATCGTCTAAAACTAAACAGTTGCTCAGGAAGAATCCCGCTCTACGCCTGCCTTGCTAACCAGCTCAAGCTCAGCTTTAGACAACAGCGTGCTGTCACTTGGCGTAACACCAGAACACTCTTTTATTGAATCATGTGCACGACTATCTGTCTCCTTGGAAGGCCCAAGTCTATTCGCGTTGACATCTTCTCCGATACCAAAGCGAAATGCTCAGGATTTGCAACGTGACACCGACAATGATGCTGACGCCGATGAAGAGAATTTTGCCGACGAAGATGCTGACGCTGATACCGATGACTACGAAGAAGACTTCGCAGCTAAACTCGAAATAAGTAACGAAGACGTTTTGGAAAATAATTCGAAAAATAACTTTCCACGTACGACTGCTCCAAGCAATTATAGAACTGCAGCGGCATCTACAGGCAATAATCGCGCCTTAACACAGGGTAATGCCGCTATGAATACCACTTATACTATTGGTGTTGAGAATATCGATATAGTTGACTCGAATGATGATGAAGGAGATGATGAAGTGACTGTAGTAAGGCGCCGTTATCGTCAGAATAGAAAGAAAATACTAACCCAAACACGAATGCAACACCAACGTCGCCTGCGTGCCGGCTCAAAAAGTCTGGATGCTGGCGAACGCGCATCACAGAAACCCTTGAATAGCGAGGGATCCGATAGCAGGACTAAATCGAAAAACAACAGCAAAATGCAAAGCAGCATCACCAGTGGCGGCGGTAAAACGACAACAACGCGCACTTGCAGCCGCTGCAATCGCGGTATACGTCATTCATCTTCGTGCTCCTCAGCTTCTGGCGGAGGTGGGGCTGGCGGCGTGGGAAATGGTAGTGGCATGACTATGGAAGAATTGCGCGCTGTAAATCGCTATGCAGAGAGTACAAAGAGCCTTTCCTATTTGCCACAGGTGAGGGATGAATTCATGCTTGCTTCACGGATTTCGGTATAGATACGAACAAATACATTTTTTTCTCAATTTTAGAGTTATGTATTTATTATTTCTTATTTTGATTTTTGTTGTAAACCCACATACATTTGTATTAAAATACGTATTTTTTTTAATTTTAATTTTAATTTTCCCTTTTCACGTTTCTGCTTTACACACAAGTATACCCTTACTTACAACAAATTAATATTTCAATTGGCTAAATTAATTTCCAGCTAGGTTAGTTGATACTGACAGGCATTTCAAATTAATTAAATAATGTATAGATATGCATACATACCCGCACACCTACAATTGGTGTAATATGAAGTCGCCATTTTTGGAGGATATATTTTTGTGCGCCACCTACATATGTATGTTAATGCATATAACAATAGTTTATCACAAATGCTAAATGCTAGGTTTCGCCACATAGAAATGATTAATTTATACACTCACGCGGTTACGTTTAGGTTGCATAAGTAACATTTCCAATCCTTGCATTGTTCGTATATACTTATGTTTATATGTACATTAGGGTTGTCCCTAAAAAATCAAAAGAAGGATTTTTTTTAGGTCTCACCCTCTCAATCGGTAATACCACTGTCGCAGATAGCACATATAAATTTGGGTCCCGATTGGAGACGGTTAAGGCGTCTCGCACAGGGGGCAAAGTACAGAATCCTCTATAGACTCAAAAAATAAAATACATATTTTTTTCATCTAATACCCAAAATCGATACTACCATAGTCGAATATATCACATATAAATTTTTGTCCCGATTGGAGTCGTTTAAGGCGTGTCCTAAAGGGGTCAAAGACCAGATGCCTCTAATACGGTGCTCGCATGAGGCGATTTTACAGGCAACTTTTAGTTGGAAACAACAATCGCCTGGTGTTAACGGCCTTTCAACTAATCGCTTCCAATAAAGTTGGGGTGCAGCCAACTTTTGATTCAACTAATCGCCCCTAAAAATGTAAAATCGCCTCATGCAAACACCGTATAAGCAGTGTTATCGTTGAGAATTTTCAGAAAGTCGCAAAAAAGGGCTCATTGAGNAAGTTGGGGTGCAGCCAACTTTTGATTCAACTAATCGCCCCTAAAAATGTCTGTAAAATCGCCTCATGCAAACACCGTATAAGCAGTGTTATCGTTGAGAATTTTCAGAAAGTCGCAAAAAAGGGCTCATTGAGGAAAAAAGGGTAACCATATTATTTTTGCTTTCCTTTACTAGTAAAAGAATAAATCTGAGAACCAAAGCCATAAATAAATTTACATGTATTACAAAGTATTTCGCTGCTAGAACGTTCTGCTGTTGAATTTAAAAAGAAAATAGCGGGACAAGCTTTGCACAGAACAGATTTGCAAACATACACAGAAATTGAGTTGCATTTCATTAACAAGTTTTAAGTGATTAATTTTTTCGTACGTACAGTAGGAAATATTTTTTAGTAGCATGGCTCTGTTAACAATTCCTAACAAAATCTCTGAGAAGGGACAAAAGTCGCACATAATTTTGGAAAAGGGTCAAAAAATCTAAATTTTCTAAAAGTCGTGTCAAAGTGTATTAGCGCTTAAAAAGAGTCAAATGGCCCCTTTAGTGTTGCAACGGCAACACTGCGTATAAGGACTCAAAAAATTATTATTATTTTTTTTCATTTAATGCCCAAATCGAGACTACTAAAGTCGAGGATATCACATATAAATTTTAGTTCCGATTGGAGTCGGTTAAGTCTTCATAGGGTAATCTGAACTTTAACTCCTATGTGACACGCCTTAACCGCCTTCAATCCGGACCAAAATTTGTATGTGACATCTTCGACTATAGTAGCATCGACGTAGGGGTTGAGGCTTAGGAAATCTGATGTAAAAATTTGCTTTCTACATTTAAAGACCACCATAATGTATATACATACATATATACACATAGGTTTATACTCAGCTGACACGTTCTCATCTTCACCTCATTTAAATATACCTACGTTTTGCAGCAATTAACTAAATACATATAGACAATAAGGGAAAATTTCTTGAATATACTATTTCAAAATGTGTCAAGTATGCATTAAATATCCCCTGCCAACGCGAGCAAGTCTAAACTAAATGAACATTTAAGTTTTTTTAAACTAAACACAAATCAAGTCGAATGAGCTTCTAGATTAAATCCCGATTTCAAATTTGTTACACAGTGGGTGTCTTATGCATTTTTGCGTAATAAATTATTAATACAGAAATACTCTTATATCTTTAAGTTTTCTGTTCGACTAATTTTTTTAACCACAATTATAATTATTTGATAATCAGTATAACCTTTTAATCGTTGTATTAGTACATACATATCTGAATCATCTGAAAGACATTTAATAATCTATTTATGTATGCAAATCATAAGCTAACCGCATACCTACACAATTTTGTTTTTGAGAATTGTAAACTTATTTATTTACTTGTGCACAATTGCTTGAAAAATTTGCTAGGATTATAAAACACACATTTCATTTAATTTTGCGAATGTTATTGCTTGGTTGATTACAATTTGTCACAGCAAAATTGGAAAAAGTATGACCTTAACTACTCTATTCCTATTCATCATGCTATATTTATTTACCGAAAATTGTTAACAAAATATAGCTTGATGTACAATGAAATTGAAAAATTTCAATGAACAACAGGAAAGTACAAATAATCATAATAAAAACAAACAAATAATAAATTAATTTTATTCAAACTTTTTGATTTATAATCTTAAATTGATATGGTGGAAACTGAAACTAAAATCTAAAAGTTTTTAATTCGGGACGATACCATAGGTTTTATTGTAGTTTTATAAAATTTCGAATATTTGGTATTGCTTGTATAATACTTTTGGTTATAAGTGCTCGATTTGTAAACACTTTTTATTTTAATCCATTTTTTTTTTCAAAATTGTTTTCAAATATTCTTTAGTTTTAATTTTGTAAATACATTTATTGTACTTTTAAACTTGTAACTACAAATGTTTGTATACTTTTTGGTAACATTTTAATTGGATTTCCATATATCTGTGTATCGACTTGACTGAATGATGTCAGTAGATTTAGAAATATAAAGCAAAAATTGCATTGCAATGATGAATTCTTTTATTTTATTTTAATATATTTTTTATTTGAACACCCTCTAGTCTAAGTTTTTTTTTTAACATTTTTAATCTACAAAAGTAGCACCATCTAGCCTTATAAAACTCACTTCGATGTTGTTATATTCATGAAAATATTGAATATTGCTCTTATGTTTCTCTCTGTCTAGCATGTTTATCGTAAGTTGTCTTTCGTATTGTTAACGTTTTCGTTTTTGGTACTGTGGGTTTAAATGGCAACCTTTTTATGGATTTGGAAAGTAGACAAGGATAATTAACTAAAATTACCTCTAAAGTCGGTTTTGCTGAATAATAGTGTGGCCGATCGAAACTTTTTCACATTTAAATTAAAGTGTGGGCAATTTATTGACATCATAAACATTAATTTTAAAGTCAATCCTGGGAACAGAGAAAAATACCTCTATTAAGTATTCAGTGAGTAATCTACCGGCTTTTATGCAGAGCTTAATTTTAAAAGAAAATGAGTTAGGGTCATTCTATATTAAGGTAACGATATGTATTTATACAGCAGACATACATATAAACACAAATCAGGTCATTTTATTTTTGCACTTTCCCTTTCTGGTTGGGAAAGTCTGGACTGCTTCGAGTAGGCAGAAAAAACACGCCAATACGAATTGTTGCTCTATTTTGGATACACGAGGATTCCGCGGTTTCGTGGGAGACTGAGCAGTAAATTTGACCTAAAAAAATATTAGTAAATCAGTGTATTCACATCCATTACATTTCTCCTTTTTTTGCTTTAAATGATAGGCAAGTATTTTCTGATCGGTCAGATATAAGAGCAATTTCGGGAATTGGGAAAATTGGCTACTGTATTTACATTGTTGAATTAGTTACCTGTGAATAACTAATACTCATCACACCTACTCAAAAGTTCAAGGAAGCCTAATACCCTGCAAACATATCTTCCACGAGCACTTTTCCCAGCATATTACCGCTATAAATAAAACTGGTGCATTTTACTACATTAAATTTGGTAAATCTAGTCAGTTTCGATATTTCATAGTTCAAAGAAATTTTGGACTGGCCTCGACTCACGTGANTAGTGTGGCCGATCGAAACTTTTTCACATTTAAATTAAAGTGTGGGCAATTTATTGACATCATAAACATTAATTTTAAAGTCAATCCTGGGAACAGAGAAAAATACCTCTATTAAGTATTCAGTGAGTAATCTACCGGCTTTTATGCAGAGCTTAATTTTAAAAGAAAATGAGTTAGGGTCATTCTATATTAAGGTAACGATATGTATTTATACAGCAGACATACATATAAACACAAATCAGGTCATTTTATTTTTGCACTTTCCCTTTCTGGTTGGGAAAGTCTGGACTGCTTCGAGTAGGCAGAAAAAACACGCCAATACGAATTGTTGCTCTATTTTGGATACACGAGGATTCCGCGGTTTCGTGGGAGACTGAGCAGTAAATTTGACCTAAAAAAATATTAGTAAATCAGTGTATTCACATCCATTACATTTCTCCTTTTTTTGCTTTAAATGATAGGCAAGTATTTTCTGATCGGTCAGATATAAGAGCAATTTTCTTNCAGACATACATATAAACACAAATCAGGTCATTTTATTTTTGCACTTTCCCTTTCTGGTTGGGAAAGTCTGGACTGCTTCGAGTAGGCAGAAAAAACACGCCAATACGAATTGTTGCTCTATTTTGGATACACGAGGATTCCGCGGTTTCGTGGGAGACTGAGCAGTAAATTTGACCTAAAAAAATATTAGTAAATCAGTGTATTCACATCCATTACATTTCTCCTTTTTTTGCTTTAAATGATAGGCAAGTATTTTCTGATCGGTCAGATATAAGAGCAATTTCGGGAATTGGGAAAATTGGCTACTGTATTTACATTGTTGAATTAGTTACCTGTGAATAACTAATACTCATCACACCTACTCAAAAGTTCAAGGAAGCCTAATACCCTGCAAACATATCTTCCACGAGCACTTTTCCCAGCATATTACCGCTATAAATAAAACTGGTGCATTTTACTACATTAAATTTGGTAAATCTAGTCAGTTTCGATATTTCATAGTTCAAAGAAATTTTGGACTGGCCTCGACTCACGTGATGTGAATAAACTTTTTTGATAAGGGTTTTGATTTTCTCAAACGATCTCCAACTGAAAAGCCGATGTTTTTTACACTAAGCAATGTTTTTTAAAGTCACCTAAATATATTTCTCTCAACACGTCATCTGGTAACCATATCCAAATAATCTAACTGTAACCAAATCATATGTTCACAGAAACATATTTAATTGATTTAACTAAACTCTTTTCTCAGTGTACTTTTGTAACTACATCTTTTCTTACGTTATGTGACATGTTTCTTTTTATTAATTAGATATATTTTTCTTCAATTCCACCATAATTTATCTTTATAATGTTTTATGACCAAAAAATTGTAGCACTTTGCATCCTTAATATTTTATTAATTTATGCTCCCGACCCCGTCGAATTTTCTGTAAATTTGTTCAAATTTATTTAATGAGTAGTTAATTCTATCGCGTATAAAACAATACAACGGAAGACTAGATGCACTAAATTAAAACCACATAATGGTCTAGCGAACTGCATTTACGAGCACTCTCAACACCAACATCAGGAATCGCTGAGTGCGTACAGATTTGAAGTGAACCACATTTAGTTAGTTTTTTTTTAACTCGGAAGTGCCTCAGAATTGATTAAATTCAAACAAAATTAGAGCAATTCTCTGCAGTAAAGCTTCAATGTATTTTGGCAAATGTTAATTAAAAAGAAATATTTGTTACAATACTCGTATTTAGGCAATCAATTCAACATTATCACTAGCTTAAAGTGTATTTATTCCTGCCGACTGCATTCAAAGCAAGAGTTCTGCTTCTAGGATTTTTCGCTTTTGTATAGTACACAGAGAAATTTTCGTTTTCAAATTTGTATGGAACGTACGCACACTTTCTAATCGTTTTTAAAAACGATCCTAAAATCTTTTTTCTTAATTTTAAAAATATGCGTTTTCAAATTTGATACTAAAATTTTATTTTCATTAAATCACAATAAGTCATTTGGTATACATATATGTAAATACATTGTTAAAAATATATTTATATATCTTACAAAATTACAAAATTTAATAAACTGTATACAGGTGTTTCNAATTTTATTTTCATTAAATCACAATAAGTCATTTGGTATACATATATGTATTGTTAAAAATATATTTATATATCTTACAAAATTACAAAATTTAATAAACTGTATACAGGTGTTTTACATATCCTATATACATACATACATAAATATGTAATTCATATTACTTACCTTGCTTCCAAGTTGGGCCTGCTAACTTTGCTTCACGCTGGTCAAATCCTGTAATTGAAAACCAGAAAGTTTTAAATTATTATTTAATAAGTCATAAGAATTAGTTTTTGTTAATTATTCTTACCAAAGCTTTTTCGGTCAAAGTCCACCGTATTACCCTTGTCCCTTCTATGTAGTTAGGTGGTTAGAATGGCGGTATTGCTTGTATATACTTCATCGCCTTTTCTGAAGATTGAAGTATCTGAACACAATTTTTTCCACAAATGATGCAAACATATGAAATGTTTTTCATTATAGCTAGGTAGCTTTTTAAATTCTGATGCAAAACATTTTAGTTTTAAATATTTTTTATACATAATTCACTAAAAGTAAATTAACGTTTTTATTTTAAAAGTGTATAGTTTTATTTTACTTGTTGTAAATTGTGTCGCACTACAACTCGTTGGGACAATATTCAAAAATGTTTCATTTCAGTTTTGAAAATACGCATTTTTGGCGTTATTTCTCTAATTTCGTTTGTTTCCCTCAGTAAAAAAAAAGTGAATTTGTTATAACGATCGTTTTTTTTTTGCGAATGTTTCGTTTTAAAGTCGTAAATACAAATACTGTTTTTTGTATGAAGTAAAACNAAATTAACGTTTTTATTTTAAAAGTGTATAGTTTTATTTTACTTGTTGTAAATTGTGTCGCACTACAACTCGTTGGGACAATATTCAAAAATGTTTCATTTCAGTTTTGAAAATACGCATTTTTGGCGTTCTTTCTCCAATTTCGTTTGTTTCCCTCAGTAAAAAAAAAGTGAATTTGTTATAACGATCGTTTTTGTTTTGCGAATGTTTCGTTTTAAAGTCGTAAATACAAATACTGTTTTTTGTATGAAGTAAAACTATATCAAACAATTTTATTTTACAATTTCTTTTAAAAACTTGCGTTTTACCTGTATCATTTTCTCTGTGTACCGTGTACAGGGTTAAATGCGAAATCCGGTTATAAAAGTTAATGGGGCTATTCATAGTCAACCTAAAGATAACACTAAAGTTTGTTGTAGACTTTTGACATAATTTTGACGGGAATATCTATCAAAAAAGCTGAAACTAACTTTAGAATCGACTTTATTTCGACTATGAATATGAATACTCATAAATAGGCATGAAAACATATACATTTTATTTTTATTTTTTTTCGATGCCCTTATATGTATACTTGTATTTAACTCATAAATAGGCATGAAAACATACATTTTTAAAATTTTTTTTTTAGAGGCAATAGTCAATAAAATTTAAGTTATTAAATTTAATATCACCAACCAATTAAGAGTTCTTAGTTGGTTTTCCCCCTTATGTGCATTTTTTGTATAGCACTTTAATATCTCTTGTAGGCGGCTTTAATATAATTATGTTGAAGCTTTCTCGTAATACATACTATGCGCACTTATGGAAATGAGGCTGAGTCTCGTGCAAGTTTCAAAATAAAAATGCTACTTTCACACGTATTTCTACATAACATATGCACAGCACTACTACATGGCTAACACACATCAAGGTACAGCATTTCCTATTTCGCTAACACACCCAGAATTATTGGCAAAAAAGGATTAGGTCAAATTGCGCTATGTACTTTTTTAATTTTGTCCGTTATACACATTACATACAACTTTTATTTCACATAAAATTTCATACATACAAGAATTTGTTGCTATGTGTAAAATCGCTTTTTTTGCTGCAAATAAAAAACATAAATTAATCATAAGACAATAGAAAAAACAATACCAGTATAAAAAACTAAGCTCGTAATTTTTCTGCCAATTCCACCTTTTTTCTCCCGAAAATCCTTTATTTGTACAACATCTGCGACAACTCTGCTATTTGGAAAATCTGCGGCTTGCAAATGGAAAACTGTCTCACATCATTGATTCCCTTCCCGAATATAAATAAAACAATTTTAATTGTATCTACTCTATGTATATCGCCCACCAACCAACAATCTTCTCAAACACCAACAATTTTCACCAATTGCAACAAAAAATTAAAATAAATATACTTCACGAAACCAATACCACACTTCGATATCGAACCAATTTTTACATGTTTAAAATATATGCCAATTGCACTTTAAAAAATAAAACTTGTTCCATTCGGTGCAATTAAAATAAAATAAATCACAAACGAAAGGTCCATGAACGCCAAACCGCACGCATGCGCACTCGCTCCGAATGGTTTTTGGGCCCTAGGGATAGTGAGTTAGCACTGAATTTGCCCAACACATGCAGCAATTGTTGTCTGGCTGCGGTACAGATGCAGCAGCAGCAACAACACTTACAATCACATGGCTATCTAGGTGGCGGCAGCACCCGTGATATGCGCGCGTATCGTGACGGCTTCGCCGATGGAGCTGATGACGAGAATAGTTTGTTAGTGGGCAGCGGTTGCGCACGTAATGGCAATCCGCTTTATTTGTATTATAAGAAACGACCGCAACAACAACAGAGGAATGATACTCGGCAGCAAACGCAAGCTGAACATATGGACACAGATGATACCTGCCATACGTATGATTACAAATTGCAGCAACAACAGCACCATCTGCAAGTTGAATCTACAAATATTTATCCTAGATCACAGGCAGTAGATCGACGACTATTAGAGCCTACAGCAACGACCGCGGCAGCACACAATGGCTGTGGTCGCCGGTTGTATTTGGATGCGAATGCAACAACCAATATCGGTAGCTATGTCGCCTCATGTAATTCTACTAATAATAATTATATATATGATTCTAATGATATAACTAAAGCCTATGCTTTTACTACAACTTCTTTTATAACTACTTCTACTACTTCTACTCTACAAATAAACTCAAATTCTAATACTACCAAGCCTTCTATTGATAACAGTAATAGTGGAAATAATTATCTAGAGAATGTTATGAATAACAACAGTAACACAGAAAACAAGAACACTAATTTTACATTGTTAGCAAGTAGTCGCCAACATCTAAGCAATTTGTCTAACACTAAATATTCACATTATAAAAATTCAGCGAAAAAACCAGTGCCGACACGCTATGATCTACACCGCATTCATCACGTTCGCCCACATATAAAAAACATAAACTCGCCTCCATATTTGCATCCAAACTCACAATCACAGAACCATCAGCGCCAACATATGGACCAAAAACGATGTTCAAATCTGCCCAGTCACTACCATTCGACCGATTCCGTGCGTTATTGCTATGTAGACTTGGATGTGGAAATTGTAACCGAGCCGCCAATGCCCTCATCACGCTTATACCACAGTCCGCGAAAGCAAGTATTTACTGCAAGGCGTTGTAATTCATCCATCGATCTCTATAAAGTTGACGGTGATGGTGTCGAAGACAGCAGTGATATCGATCATAACTATCTAACATACTCGCTATCGCATGATCACCAAGAGCCGGCACTTGATGAAAGTGCAGTATCTGCGGTAACTATTCGCCCGGTATCTTCTGAAACATATTCTGTCTCGACTGGTTTTTTGACTGCGTTGGATACCTCTGTCGCGACTGTTTCTACGGCAGGGGCAACTGGTGAAACTGGCCGTGACTGGCCACTTGCAGCGGCTGAAGAAGTAGATTTTATCCCTACATCCCGTTTTCGGCAGAGTACACCGCGTATTCAACGTCGTCAACAGCAAATGCGTCGGCGGCAACGTTTTTCTTCTACATCGACGCAATATCAGTCACTCAACGCAACGGGAGAGAGCAACCTAATATCAACGACGGAGGACGGTGGAAACGGCAGTGGCAATGGCAGGAACACACGTACTGAAAACGGCAGTCATTTTGTTACAATCATCTTTAATGTTCTAGACTTCTTATTTTAATGCAATTTCATATGTATGTGTTTTATTATAAGTTACCTAAATATTAAGATTGCTTTGGCGCTTTTTTATAAAACTTTTTATTTATTTATCTTTTATTTCTGAGTAATGCAATTAATGTTGTGATTAACGACAGTATTGGTTGGTTTACTGTGTAGAATATTAACAAGGCTATATATTTAATTGTTTAATTTGTGTTTGTGCGGATATATTGATTTGTTACTGTGCAACTTGATAATTTGGAAATATGACAACTTAATTTAAAAGCTAAAGCGCAATTATAGAAAAATCCATTGTGAGAAGAAAATTGCGACATCAATTAAAATTTGCCCCTCACATTTTTGCCAAGTGTTTGGTGAAGCTTCTTCTCAAATTCGTCTTAATGTTGTCTCAGAAATGGTGGGACTTTTAAGTTTTCGCTGCCTGCCAAGGCGAAATGGTTTTCAAGAAAAGCTATTTCATGCTGTTAGAAAAGTTTTTCAATTATATCTTGCATAGACCGTGAATTTAGATTGAACCTGGGTTCTACAGAACGTTTATACGCATCTCAACATCTTGGATTCGAGGACCACACATTTTTTAACTGGTAACAAAAATTGTAATAGAAAACAATTTAGATCAGTGAATCCACCAGGTGTTGTCGTCAAGCTCAGTTTACGGTAGGCCCGCGAAACTGCCGTTTTTTATCTCCTTTAACTCGCTTCTTATAAAGTAATTTTCCCGGTGTGCCCGCTTTTGTTTATAGGCGGTGATTATAAGCTTGGGGTTTCACATTCTCTAGAAAATCTTTTTATAGCAACACTATTGCTGACGCTAATCAGGGAAGATGCCATGCCGTACATTATATAATAAAAACATAGTATTTAAATAAAGTTTAAATAGACAAAATATGAAAAATTATATTAAAAAAATCGGATGTAAAAAAACATCAGTAACGATGAATTGATAAATATCTGTGAACATTTGACAAAACAACCTGTGCGCTTTCTGTAGGTTGGAATTTAGAGTAAATTATAACGCATGGTGAAATTATACCAGGTGTAGTAATAAGAGCGAGAAAAAAATTTACACTATGTTATTTGAAAATTTCGTATTAAAAACTTTTATAAGATAGCCGGTTGTCAAGAAAATTTAGAAAATAAAGCGAGAAAGCTGTTTTATTACTTCACCTTTTTATAATTTCACCATGATTATAAGGGACTTCCATTTAACAATTTGACTTTTCTATTTAACTTTCATTAAGATAGCATTAGTTCAAGATGTCCTATTAATGACTAAACATAAAAATATCATACAACTCAATGAATAACCGCTTTGAAGAGAGAATGACCTCACTAGAGAGAAATTGTTTTGACAAAAGTCCGCAGATATGTATATGATACTTAGAGGTCCACTTTTTCAAAGAGGGCGATCTTCACATGATAGTCAACTTTTAGCTGAAACGCTTTAAGAGTACAAAATTATGAAGATACATAAATAGATTTCATGTAAATATACACCTGCGAGTAACCAAATAGCAGTACTTCAAATTGATCAGTTTTCAGTATTTTTGTTTTTATTGGTTCACGTTCAGTAATTTTTTATAATGCACTTGTGCATAGGTATATTTTTGTAAGTTTTATTTTGTGATGATGTACAAATATTGTTTTCCTTTTTTAGTCCTGAAGATGCCTTCAGACTGAAGGCGAAATATCGACCAAAATAAAAATAAAAATAAATAAAACAGAAAAACGTTTAATGTTTTATTTAACATACGGCCTATAGCTGAAAAATAAATTATTTTTTATAAAAACAGAAAAAACTATAAAAAAAATTTACCACTTTGTGAAAAAATAAGACAAATTCAATAAAGCTTCATAATAATTGAGAATATTTAAATAGAATTACTAGAAAAAAATTTGGTATGTAGATTTGTAGCCTATTAAATTTTAGTAAAATAAAGTGCAAGTTTGAAATTTTTAAAATTATTTTTTCTGACGGTGTCACTCATTTTCTTTCGTACAAAGCACAGTATACAGTAAACCAGCCATTGACAATAAGCTTATTTGAAAATTAATACATGAAATATTGTGCATTTATAGGATTATTTTGTCATTAACCCATAGGCAATGACTGGTGCAAAAGTACCCCCAAATGTTTGTTGTAATATTTGAAATGTAAATTTTAACAGCGAAATTCGTAAAAAAATAAAACAATAATATTGTTGATTACTAAATGGGAGGTGGTCGTGGTTATCGACAGATTTCACCAAAATTGAATACTAACCTAAATTATACCAAAGGCAACTTCGGCACCGACTTTCGTTACAATATCTAAATTTTGTTCGAGTTAGCGTGTTTACAAATCTGGATTACTGTATACTGTGGTACAAAGTATAATCGAAATTTTTGTATATGGAATTTTGATTAAAATTTGTTGTATTTTTGTAATCTTTGCGCAAAGTTTGAAGTTTGGATTGATATGGTTTTTATTATATCATGAGCTATAATTTTATAAAAAAATAATAGCGAGTGAAAAGAAAAATGGTGGAAACTGGCCAAAATTTCGCACTCTCTTGTTACTCGCAGGGATATGAACCTAGTAAATATGTATTTTGTATTTACACTTGCATGTTTACAACTCATTTGATAATTTAACGGCCTTCGCACAATCGCTCGGTTTGAAAAAAAAATCTTTTCTTATGCACTTTGTGAATTTAGGGATTGCTTTGTAAAAAATAAGATTTAAGACTTTTACATGGAGGCAAAAATATTCATTGGTTTGGCATCTTATCACTATTTGATTTTATGAGTTAAGATAAACAATTTTCACTTTGTATAAGTAAGCAACAAATTTTTGTATTTTTCTGTTTATGCTTAAAATATAAAATAAAAAAAGTTTTTGTTAGATCGTATGTGTTTTGTGTTTCTCTGTTAGTTATATTTCTTGGTTATTTTTTTTTTTTTACCGATAAAAACTTTAAAGTTTGTTAGAAAGATAAATATGTTGTGTTTTGACTGTTTTAACCTTGTTTTTGACCCAATGTTTTATAAATTTCATGTTTTAATGATTTGTTTATCTTCCTTTGTGTATTTAACAAGCCACATTTGTTTTTATATGGGGCTAATAAAATGTGCTTTCGTGTATTAACCATTTTAACGTCCTTCGTCTTACATGAATCATAAAATTAAATCGACCAACAGTAATATATTCACAATTCAACAATTCCCAACTGACATACCTCCAACTGCAAATACCATATCCACATTTACACATTAGTATATTCGTTAATTGGCCTTTTACTACATTCATACATATGTATACATATTGGCATTTCACAAAATCCAATAAAAGTGACGTTATCTATTGTTTCTGAAAAATCTGTATGCTAATAGTTTTCAAAAATTTTACCATATATATTTTTTTAATTAATAACTTTTGTCCTAATACCTGCTATCTTACCATTTCTATCTATTTCGCGAACTTCCTGTGCCATGACTATTCCACTTAAAACCTATTAAAAATGTCCAACGACTGTAAATCGACCCACCGTCCCACGCCAAATAACTGACCAATTCCACAAACGGTACAATTTTCGATTAAACTACATATGCGGCACTTGTAGTTGGCAACATCCGTTTGAGTAATAGTGCCGAGTCCATTCAGTATCCAGCCACAACCGCACGGCGTTCATCCTCCCGACGTTTGATTGGCGTAAACGTGCCACGACAATATCCGTTGCGCTCCTCATTGCGGCGAAATAGAGAAAAACAGGTGGGCAGTGGTAACACAGTCAATAACGGTAGTGGCAGCAGTGTCGGTGATAGCAGTTGCGTCCTCGCCGCTAATATTTCCGCAGTCAGCGGTAGTGGTCGTATGTTGCCAGTTGCTATAGCGCCATCATCAGTGCGTAATTCTATTGCAGAATGTTGCGGCCACGTTGGTACAGAACAAGACAGCCAGTATATTTCAATACCAGCTTATCCATTTAGTCGGTTAGAGGACTGCACGAACTCACCAGAATGCAAACAACCTTATCCCTCTAGTATGGTTGGTGAGAAAATGATGGGTGAAACTGTAAGCGCCAGCGGAAATATGGCCGCTGTGGGCGGTATTGACAGCATGCTGATGGATACTACAGAATATATGAAAGTCTGCAACAACAGAGCGCCAACATTCGCTGATCTAAGTGGCAACAATAATTTAGTTTACACCACAGGAGCAATCAATAACAGTCCGCCATTGATGACGACGCTGAAATCGGAAAACGTTGTTAGTGCGTCTACAGCGGGACAATTCAAAAAGATGGCAATACATAACAAAAGCAGGGATGAAGGCCAACCAGAAGAGGAGGGTGTTTCAACAATTACATTTAAGGCGCCGCGTGTATGAAAATAGAAAACCAGAGGGACTTCCAATATGCATAAGAAATAACGTGTCAGGACAAAACATTATTCCAAAATATTTATGTACATGTGCATATGTGTATGCATGAAAATAGATCAATACGACTAAAGAAAGCAAGGAAACGTATTTTTTTAATATCGTTTTAAACTTGCGCTTGTGTATCTTAGAGTAAACTAACTGAATATCGAAAAAATTACGGTTAGAGATTTTGGTAGTTATAATGTTAGGCAAGTTGGATATATGCACATACATACACATGCATTTATGTATATACGGTTGCATGAAAAGAATGAACTGTAATATATGTAATTTAAATATAAACATATTTAGTGATAGCAATATTTTTTAGATTACAGTAAATATTAAACGGATTCTAAAACAATGTTTCAAACAAAACTTTTATCTATATAAGATCTAGTACATGTCGTTTTAAAGTACAAAACCACGTATCAACAAAATGCAAACACGCTTATATTCCAAAAAGGTTCTCTCTTTTATAAAGCAATCGCATTTCTGGCTAGTATATTTCAGGAGGAATGGATAAGGCTTGAGCCAAAAGTTCGTGTGAGCAATTCCAATTTTTGCCAAAAAAAGGTTAGTTACGCGATTTTGCAGAACGACGATATGTGGTTTTGTACCTTAAACGGCGATATGCATGTATTCAAGTGTGTAATAAACGCTGTCAATATGTATGACTTAAGTATATAAAGATATATATTGTCAATAATGGTTAGATAGAAGTCTACTGTAAATATTTCTTACAAAAAAATGCAAGTTTTAATACGTAAAGATGTCCTTACATACATACGTTTCGTTACATTAATATCACTAAATCCATCGTAGTCGGATTTTTCGTGAAATTTATGCGATTACTGAATTCGAATTGCTACGAACGTTGCATATACTTTGAATAGATACAATGTACGCTCGTAGCAATTCACAAAATATCGAATCACGATGGATTCAGTGATAGCCCCCATAATGTACTACATACATTTCGTACCCTTGATTCACAAAGGCCCTAATCAACAAATTTTTTATTTTACAGGAGAAGCAAAAAAAAATTTAAAAAGAGTATCAAAAATAGTTACAGCTTTTTAAAAAGTCGCATGTAACTCCGTTGTTTTTGGTACTAGCACTTTAAAATTTTTACTAAAGGTGCACTTTAATACCTCCTACCAAAATCCTTGAAAAACGCAGTCCTATTGGGCCTTTGTGAATTAAGGTAGCGATATGTGTATAGAAGGATCATACCATGCATTTTTGTTTATTTACATAGTGATTTATAACTTTTTAAAAACTGAAGTTCTCAGTTTAAAATTTCTGGAAATCAGTTTTTTTTATTAACGACTGAAGCTAATTCAGTGATATAAAGCATAGGAATATTACATATGTATGTGTATATGTAGTACATCCTCGATTTTCGCAAAAAAAATCCGCGAACTGCTGCAGTAATCAGTTTTTGGATTTTCGAGTTATTCATAGTAGAAAAGCAATATTATGAAAATATTCAAAATCAAGCAGAATCAGATAATCAAATTTCTCGTGCTATTCACTTTTTTGTGGTGAAATTACGGCAAACTAAAATCATTTAAAAATTTCAAAAGCGAAAAAAATTGCCTGTCCAATTTGTATGAATTCCGCAGTTTCGTTAAAAGCATTGCTTAAGAGTGAAAGAAAACGAATTATTGAACTTAAACATTTCGAATTTTCGGAAGAGATTGATAATATTTGATCAGTCGCTTTAATCAAGGGTTTTCTGCACATCAGAAGCCGGTTAATTGATGGGGTATTGTACATAAAACTGTTGCTATTCGATATCTACTTAGTAAAATTATAAAATTGAAAATGGTTTGTAAAGCCAAATATTTTTTAAATGTTAAAAATATGAAAAAATATATCATATTTTATTTCAGTATTATTCGATTAATCGAAAATCATCAACAAATTTTATTTGATATGCTATTTATGTAAATATTTCAATAAACTGTTATAATAAATTTACTTTTAGGCCAGTGCATACTTCTGTATGTACTATGTAAAGTATACTTAAAAAACGTTCATACGTCATTGGCTTATTTTCAGTACCCATTATATGTAACTTTCATAAACACTTTTCTGATATTGGAGTACATATGCGACTTAACCGCGAACTCCGATATTATTTATAATTTTTAAATCCGATAGTGATATGAGGATAATTTAAGGCCCTTATTATGAGCTGCATTCGATTTTCGATCTTCGCTGGCTATCGAAGATCGAAGCTCGAAAGTGAAATTCGTATTATGAGCTATGCAAGCGTGTCGAAATTTTCGTTGAGTATCGAATTTTCTGTCGAACAGAATTTTGCTTTCGATGGTGTAGCGAAGTGTTAGAAAATTGTGAAAAATGTATGATTTTGTATATGTTTTCTTACATTTTGGCGGCTAGACACTAATTTTAAACAATTTTTGTTAATTTCATGCAGTTCTAACATCGTGAATACTAAACACAAGCTCGAAAGGCTGGATTTACTTGTGAAAGAAAATCCCAATACTCTGTTGGCACGATCTCTGAGAACAAAATCGTAGCGCTGTTGATAGTTTTAAAATATTTTAAATAGATTTGGCTCACAAACGCCTCTTTAGATGGTCGGAACTTTTTAATGAATCTGTAGACAAATTTCTTAAATATATTTTATATCAAAATATATTCGAAAGACTAATAAACTTAAACTCTCTTAAACATTTGCTACTCCTGGCCAGTTTACTAAGCTCTCATCCTCTGACGAATCGTTGAACCAGAACTCGTTGTACTCATTTTACCACGTTTTTATAAACTTGCTTTCTTTTTTACTTCATTTTAATTAGAACAAATTTACATAAATATGTATAAGCACACTATTTAGTTTGCTCGATTTGTAAAATCGAATGCAACTCATAATAGGGGCCTAAATCTTGTATAAATTATGGAACATTCTTTATAATAAGTTAAGGGGCAGAAGGTATTGAATATAGAACTTTTATATGTACATATGTGCATTTGGGTTTATTTAAATGTACAAAAAGAAAACGAGTATACTATGTATATGAACACGCCCAAGGCGTATATATAAAAGGTGGTATCGATTCTACAAATACAACAATTTTTGTTTTTGCTTTTAGTGGCCCATTGTCAGATTTCAGCTATTCTTCACTCACTGGCGAAATAAAAAAGTTTGACAATCAAACGTTGATGAAGCCACGCCACCTTATAGGTTTGTTCCACACGAGCCCGCGGGATCTCGCGTGTGCCCAAAACAGCCCAGAAAGCGTTTCTCACGCTAGAAAAATGGATAATAGAGAGCGAATACCTTCCACTTTTGGATTGTAAATGTCTTCTTCTTCGTGCCCGAAACAGCCCGGCCTTTTTTTCCGGGCAGAAATGTGCAAGAAGTCAATTTGTAATAACAGCTGCTAATTTACATCCGAAATCAAATTTTGTAAAATACAAAAATGGAAAATAGCACAAAAGTTTCAGAAATGTAGGTATTTGCTAATTTTATTAACCATATAAGATAAATACACATAAAATCATTGTTTAGAGCTGATTTGTTGATTCTGGGCACGAAATGTGGTTTTTGCGTTCCTCACGCTCTGGGAGCTTTTGGCACGTGTTGACACATTTTTGACACTTGTCAGAGAGTAATTTATTTTTACACTCTAATTGCCGAAACTGCTCGGAAAGCGTGGAACAAACTTTATAATAATTTCGCCTTGAACACGAAACTTCATTCGAATCTGTATTTTGTTAAAAAATGCCTACATATATATATCTTCACTAAAAAAAATTGGAAAAGCATAGATTTAGTTTTATTTTCGAATAATGTTCGATTTATCAATAGAAAGTGAAAATCGATAAAGCAGCCTCATTGCGCAAGTTGTAAATTAGACTGAATTGTACGACTCGACAATATTGGCACTGTCTACTGCTGTGTTGCCACTTAAAAATATTTTTAGGTACCAAAACGCCTACCAAATCAGTTTCCAAACTGCCAAAATTTGTTCATCATTAAAACGCGATTTCTCGAGTTTGCGGGGTTTTTAGCTACTCAAGTTAGCAGAAAAATTAAAACTACACATTATATTGTTTACAGTATTGCTTAACCATTCATACCAATCTTTAAGATTAAACAAAAAAAAAAATCAGGCCTTTAAATAAATAAAAAACTTTTGTAAAATATGTACACTGGCGGAACAAAGTATTGGCACAGCAAATTTTTCACAATAAATGCAACCATTTTCATTCTAATATTTCGTATAAAAATATGGTTCATTCTACAACAAAAAACATAAAAATGTAATTTCTAAACTTTGTGCAAAACTCGCGAAAACTCAGGAAATTTTCATGAAATTTTCAACTTTTTAAGCAAATTTTTTAGAATTCTTTTGAGTATGCAGATTTGTAGCCCAATCAATTTGATTATAATATGTATATATATATATTTTTGGCAATTGTTCACGCAGTCTCTTCCATGCAATTTTTTTTACTTTATATGGAAAAATGCAAAACACCTTCAACAAAAAAAATCCCAAAAATCTACGCGATTTTTGACCAACTCCAAATTTGCATTTTTTTTACTAGAATTTAATGGGCTGCAAAACTGCATACCGAAAAAAATTCTCCCAAATAGCAGCTATAACTTCTAACCTTAGAATTTCAAGAAGATCAGGCCCAGGACCGAACGAACGAACGACCTTACGATGGTATGCATTTTGATTCTAATAATAAAAAGGATACAGAAAGGATAATAAAATACAGGAAAATACATTCATAATTATTAAAGTATTTATTGCTTTAAATTTAACTAGAAATTAACAAATTGCAAAACATCGGTAACCATCGAAATATCGATGTTTCTCTGGCGATGTATTTTAGCCTCGGCGTTCTTTTCTCCGATGCATGGAAACATCGATGTAGAAGTTATAGCAGCTATTTCGGAGATCACCACATCTGATCACAGGGATCGACCCTGCGTAATCGATGTTCAAAGTCAGAAACGTTAACCTCTGAGCTATGTACATCCCGTAAACTCTGTTGCTAATTCATTTTCCTTATTCAACAAACTACTATCAAGTGCAGCTGATTTGCCGCTATTTAAACTCGACAGCGTGGTTGTTGTCAATTCTATACATCAATTTGCTTATTTAATAAGGGTATTTTTTTTTAATATTCCTGATTTTCCATTTAAGGTAAATTATTTTTACCCTGGGATGCAGTAATTCAATCTCATCTCAAGTCACTAAATTTGAGATTAGCAATTAGTGACTATTTTTGTGACTTGAGATTATTTGGCTATTCAGTAGGAGAGAGCCACAAAAAGTTCACCAAAAATGTGTGGTGAAAACAAACACAGACAGTCAACTGATAGCGTTTATTTATTCCTTTTGCCGCGCTACCCGAAGAGTCGCAATGACTGAGGGGTCAAAGCATTAGGCTGCCGGTCGGGGGGGTCCCGGTTCGAGTACTCCTCGGGCGTAGAGGATTTTTTATTTTTTTCTATTTAGTATTTTTTATTAGTTTTATTTTCTTTTTAATAATCTTTAGATTTTAATGTTTTTTAAAAAATTATATTTTTTTTTCAATGGATTTGTATGATATTAAAGCATTTTGGTTTATTTCCTAACGAAATTCTTGTTGAACAAATTTCCTCGCTTCATATTCGCGTTTTTTTTTATAAAATGGAAAGCAATTAACTTTTCCTCCATATTTTTATTTTTGAGACCTGCTCTTAGCCAGCTGACAAATTAGTGACTTTTTTTTGAGACTAGAGACGTGAGACAGCGTACTGAATACCAAATAGTCCCAATAGTCATTTCTCACGGAAACGGTCTGGACCATTTTTATTGGAGTTGGCAGCACTAATTTTATACTTCTAGTACGAGGAAGACGAAATTATAAAAATTAACTCACTAAATGGGGAAAGGTACATTTAAACGAAATAATATTCACTTAAACAAATACTAGGCGTAAAGCAAATTTATTTGAAGCAAGTTAAAAGAAGCAAT